AGTCCCTCGTGGGCTGGACCCCAGAGGAAACCTGCAACAATATACTCAGATACTAAGGATCCAAGTGTAACCACCTGTGTCTAGTAATAATCAGATACATAGAGATTAAAGACACATGTGCAAACATCTGTTAGTAGCATTAAAAATGTAGGCAACAGCATATTTTAAAATGAAGTGGAGATCTTCTTTAAAGGGTAAAAACTCATTCAATTTTATGTCTTAGAGAGTTTATACTGAGTTCAATACTGTAAAACTGTATTAATTCAACTGTGAACCTAAAAATTTACAGCCACTTCTGAAAGCGATGTATCCTTGTTCTGGAATGTGTTACTGAATATGTTAAAGCTGTAATGAAAAAAAAAAAATGTGTGTGTAATAAAATTAAAACACAAGATAAAAAATTTAAACATTCACATTCAAAAAATCAATGAAAAATTACAAAAGTAGAATTTTTCTAATAAATTTTATTTAATTAAAAAATAACCAATATTTCCCTTTTCTTCTAGGGTTGCCTTATTATGAAAGGTATTTTATTTATACTGCAATGTCCTGCCTTTCAAGTTAAATTCTTATGCTTATAATACTGAAAATATTTAATCGTAAGTATTTTAATTTCAAACTGAGAAATTGATGTAAAAATGAACTGTAGAAAGCTGAATGGCTTTTGTCATTTTATTTGTACACTGTTTTACTCAATCATTAAATGAATTTATAGAAAATGTGTTCTTTGTCGTTTTCTGCATTTCATGTATTTCATTGCCTTAATTTTTTTCAAGTAGTTAGAGTGAACCACATGAAATGAATTAAATTCACAGGTTAGACATGGTTGTCAACTAACAATATTATACAGTTAAATTAAAATTATTCTCAGTAGGAAAGGGTTGGAAAATACCTACACGCAATTTTTTGAAGCCAAATCTTAGAATTCATGTTTTAAAGTAACCAAATACTATAGGAGCATTTAACAGCTCTCACAAAATCTGTTAAAATGCCATTTGACCAAGTTTCAGAATGTCAATGTTGAGAAGCTTGAGAATTTCAATTGAATAGATCTGATACACATATTTAAATAGAATATACACCAAGTAAATATTTTCTTAATCAATGTAATTTATTAATTTTTCCTCAGAGTACATTTCAGCTAGGAAGTCAGATACATCTAGTACCCAAAGAATCTCAATAGAATGAAAAATTTTTAATAACTAATTTGTAATGCTTTAATTTTCTAAAGATAGAAATCATGTATGAAAACAATAGCTATCATAGGTCTGCTAGTAGTGAAAAATACTGCTTGATTATTGCACAGTACTCAGTGGACTGACTCATTGTTTAGGGATTATTATAGCTGTGTCATGGGAATTTCAGTATTAATTTCACAAGCAGGGTTAAACATGAGAAAAATAATGTCACACCATCCAGATGGTTGGCGTTAAAGATAATTAACTTGGGGAGAACAATTGCCTGTATTTTTGTTCTTGTACCTTTAGAGTTCTTCATGATGACTTAAATCTTGGGCCATCCATATTCATACATCCTCTTACAGGAATGAGGTGAGAATTCATTATTTTAGTTGATCATAATTAATTCTAAAAAATAAATATTTTACTGCCAAGAGTTTTTCATATACTGCCTATATATGGAAATATATGTTTAGATGATTTTCCTACCAATGGAACAGAAAACAGTAGTGACTAGAAAAATAACTCAAATATCTTGATTAATTCCTCTTAATTCTTATGGACATACACCTACATATTTGTATACCAGAAACTTGAACCCAATCATATAAGTGTGTAATGGACTGTATGATTAGCCTGAATGCTGCTCATTAACAGCAATGAAGAATAGATCCTGAAAGAATGCCTTCTTGTAAATCTAACACTTTGCAGTGAAAATTTTAAAATGAGGATGATGAAATTAATTAAGGCAAATAACCTAGCAATTCAGAAGGGTAATTGGGACTCAAAGATTCTGAAATTTAAAAATATCCTTCGTTAGGATAATTCTACAGAACCAATAAATCAAATATTTTATTAAATGAAGTTATTTATTTATTCATGAAATTATTTGGAAATCTTCCACAATCAGAAATATTTTTTCAACTGCTGAGGATCAAAGGAGTATATGACAACTTAGGACAGTCAGTTCTTTCATCATCATCTAGGTCGTGATTTAGATGGAGATCCTGGAAATATATAAGGATGTGTTCAGACATATATAGAGTTAGGTTCACCAGTGAATTCTTGGTAGATACAAAATAAGGAAAATCTGAGGTTCTTTTGTAGATTTCATAATGGAACACTTAGCTATTGCAATCATTATCAGCCTCTGTGTTAATGTCTTATAATTATCAATAAAACTTCAAACACTTTTTTTATTTCCAATAAAGATGGAAAAGGATAATTTCTACAGTATAAATTCTACTGGCAAAACCTTGAAAAATAATCTTGGAACTTACTTTAATATATTTTATTGTTTCAAGGTCATTCTTTCCAGATATTTATTTTTACAAACTATTCTTTCAATTTTCCATATTGTATTTTTGGGAATGGGGCTGTTAGAAAATAGATGCTTTCAAGGAAAACTTTATTTCACAATCTATTTTTGTGCGTTTTCAGAAACAAGCACAGTCACAACCATATCATACTCTATAAACAGCAATGTTCATGCCTAGGGAACACAGCCTCCACAGCTAAGCTCCTACAGTTAGTGGAGTAACTGATGATTAAAACACGTAACATTCAGACATACACACATGAATAATATTAATCTCTGTATTCCGGATTCCAGTTCTACTTGGTGCATCAAAAATCTCTGAGAGTCCTAATGTTTTTAACCATCAGGAAGGTGCCTGAGGTTTTTATACAGTGCAAAATAATCATACAGAATTGAACGGATACAGTCCTTGAAAGAAAATATTGCTACTTATCTCACTAAATAAGATTAGATATACGGGATATCAGCTACTTATAGACTTTAAATATGTAATAGGTTCTAATAATTTGAAATTGCTTTCAAACATATCTTACTATGGTCTTAATCAAATCATATTTGCTGTGGTATTAATAGCTCCACTAACTCCCAAGAGAGAAATAAAACAATATAGTCATTAAAAAAAGAAAATAGATGCTTTGAGAAAATGTTTCTGGTAGTCACAGATTTGGGAATGAAATATTTAGCTGAGTCCATAAAGAACTGATTACTAAGATACAGAAGTAAAAACAGGTTGATAGTAAAATAATGTGGCTGCTCTTATAAGAACTTGGGAGTTGTGAATCCAGGAATTGCTCATGTTCCCTTGGATAGTTAAACCCTCAGGATTGCTGTTTTCAAGTGACCATCTCCTGTTGTAGGTTGCTAACACAAGGGTCTGAGTATATAAATCATACCATAGTCCACAAACATGTATAATGTTGCATCATATACTAAGTGCACTGTAGTGATGCTGACTTCAATTCCCTCTCCCCAATCTGGGTTTCAATAGATCTGTTCTCACCACTTTCCAGTTAATGAAAATTTTAGACATTTTTGAGAGATTTTTTTCTTTGTCTGTCTCTGCTATAATCATTTCTTATCAGTTTTAATGGGTTCTCTTCATCTGATTTTCTATTTAAGAGAAATTTATAATTTGAACTTTTAATTGGAATGCATTTAATGACAACACTGCCTATTTTTCCTACAGTGTTTTTTTATAATGTTACATTCCAACTTTCATAATCTTGTTTATATTATCTATTAGAAGAGCAAATGGTGAATTGTTAATATCTTCTTAGGAGTATGTAAAACTGAAATATATTATTAATTGCATAACTTTTGGCATTGAAATTTGTAAGCATAATTGTTGGCTTGATCTGTAATATATAAACAAACTACTAGTGTATATGTAAAAGAACAACTACTTTTAGCATCATGGCTATACCACCTCATTTACTGGCTCTATGTCATGAAGTAAAAATGACAGCTTTCTAATCTAGAAGACACTAAGTAATTAATTTTCTAAATAAACTAATAAATTTGCTCATTTAATTTTTCTGAGGAAATCTAGAAGATGTTTATTGTCGGTCAGGATGACATTAATACATTAACTACCAAACAGCACACATGTAATTGACACAAAATGTTAGAAATATAATTTAAACCTACTACTTTGAAATTATCTTAGGAGGAGTTAATGATGCACATTATATCATCGACATCAAAATTTCTATTTCTTTTTCTTTCTGTAAGAAAGATGTAAGAAGTAGTTGAAAAATAGATGAAACACGTTTGGGTTTTACCAGTATTGCTTTCAATGACTGTAGTGCAAAACACATGATGTATTTTCCTTTCTTTAAAAAAAACAATTTATTGAGTGTTTATACATTTCAAACAACATTTCTTAATCAAATTGAGAAGCTCTCCTCCATCCCCGCCTCCCCAGAACACCACCAGACCTCATAAATTTTGCCATACATATTATGTCCTACCCAGTCAAGCATTTGTATTCAGATGCAAGTTCCACAAATGGGGTCTCGTCAGCCCATCTAGAGATCTTAAGGAAAGTCTGCTCTCCCTAGCAATCATTCTCCAATAGTTCCCAGGCTAGGGCCAGGCGTGTGCCCATTTCCCTCTATCCACTCTGGGCCCTTGTCTGATTGAGTTGGAATGGGTCTTGTGCTCAATGCTACCATTGTTGCATGTTCACATGTGCAAGTTTCCAATGTCCTGAAAGCCTCTGTTTCCCTATGCTCATGGACCAAACCTGGCTTTTACAATCTTTCCACCACAATGGTCCCTGAGCTGACAGTGGGTGAGGTTTAATAAAGTAGTCTTGTCCAGGGAAAAACACTCTGTAGGAGACACAGGACAGAAACTCTGTCCAAGGACAGACACACCTTCATATCTGCTGATTAATGCCCACAGGAAATGGGAATGAAGTGCTGAAAGAGATTCCATCCTTTGTGACTCTTAGTCATATTTTATTTCTTAAAATTTCATTGCAGCAAGCTGTTTGAGAGGATATAATGGAAGGAAACAAGAGCCAGATAACTGAATTTGTTCTCAAAGGAATAACAGATTACTCAGAGCTGCAAGTCCCCCTGTTCCTGGTGTTCTTCATGATTTATTTCATCACCATGGTGGGCAACCTTGGATTAATTTTGCTCATCTGGAAGGACCCTCATCTTCACACTCCCATGTACATTTTCCTTGGAAGTTTAGCCTTTGCAGATGCCTGTACTTCATCCTCTGTGACTCCCAGAATGCTTGTTAACATCTTAGACAGCAGTAAAATGATTTCTCTCTTTGAGTGCATGGCCCAATATTATTTTTTTGGATCAAGTGCAACCACAGAATGTTTCCTACTTGTAGTAATGGCCTATGACCGTTATGTAGCTATATGTAACCCTTTGCTCTATCTAGTGGTGATGTCCAACAGATTGTGCACTTGCTTGATAACTATATCATATATAATTGGTTTTCTACATTCATTTGTTCATGTAGGATTATTATTTAGATTAAGTTTTTGTAGGTCAAATATAATTGATCATTTCTACTGTGAAATCTTGCCACTATATACTATTTCTTGCACTGACCCATCTATTAATGCATTAGTGGTTTTCATTTTTTCTGCTTTCATACAAGCTATCACTTTCATGAGTATTGTAGTCTCTTATGCACGTGTCTTATTTGCCATCCTGAAACCAAAGTCTGCAAAGGGTGGAAGCAAAGCCTTCTCTACCTGCAGTGCCCATCTGCTCTCTGTCTCTTTGTTCTATGGAACTCTCTTTTTCATGTATGTGAGCCCTGGGTCTGGACCAAGTAAATATCAGGATAAAATATATTCTCTTTTCTATACAATTATAATTCCTCTGCTAAATCCCTTTATTTATAGCCTAAGAAACAAAGAAGTCATAGGTGTATTGAAAAAACTCATAATATCATAAATGTTTTTCAGAAATTCTTTTCTCATTTATTCATTTTTTTTTAATTTTTTTTAT